AAACAAGTGTCACAATCAGTTGCATTAGAACAAGTCGCACATTTAAATAAGCAAGCTGTACATTATCTATTTTTCATATTTCCCCATTTACCTGCAGGACAGGCTGTTACACACGAATTTCCATCTAAAAAATGCGTTGATAGACATGCTTAGCACTTAGTAGCATTACAAGTAGAACATCCAATTGATATAGTAGAACATTCGATACAAGCTTATGTGTAATTCAAATTATCATAGTTATAAGCAGGGCATTCACAAGTAGTTCCAACCCTATTCTCAAAGCAAGTGTCACAATCAGTTGTATTAGAACAAGTTGCACATTTACTATTACAATCCTAACAAGTTCTTGTTGAAGCATCTGCATATTTTTTTTTTGGACATGAAGAAATACATTAAGAATCATTATAAAAATATCCAATTTCACATAAATCACAAGAAATTCCATCTGTACATTTTTAGCATTGTGCTATACCACAATTTTAACAATTATCTATATTTAAATACTAGCCATCAAAACAAGAACTACAAGAAGTATCGTTATTACATTTAGCACATTAAGGCATACATTCAAAAGCATAAATTTCGAATTCTGTAATTCCAAAAGATTTTATAAAAGCGTTATTATCTTCATATATTTCATTAGAAATTGTAATATCAAGTACAGTATCATTAGTTTAAAAATCAAAATCAGCTTATTAGTATTTTTCTTTTATAAATTTTCTGGCACATAATATTTAAAAAGTAAAAATTTTTTATAATGTTGCAGCAAGAATTCCATTTATTTTAAAATATAAAAATTCAATTTATAAATCCCAATGATCAATCATTATATATTAAAAGTTGATTGAATATTTATATACAGGTTTATTTGATTTAACATTTAAGGATATAATACAGCTGTTTCCACATATTTAAAATCCTCCTAAAACAGTTTTCGGACCGCATTAATAAGTTATCGTTCCTCCAACTGAAGTAGAAAGGTTAAAACCACAATCAATAGCATCTTATTACGAAAAGTGTGTATTTAAACATTTTTTCAAAAGTTTTTTTTTTTAAGAATTGCAAGCTGATAATAGATAAATTATTATCAAAATAAATTTAATACTATTGCTAAATTTCAAATATACCATTATTTTTTATAAATGATTTAAATTTTTTATTTTTATTTTAATATAATAATTAGTCATTTAATGATATAAAAATGTAAAAAAAAAAAATATAAAATAAATGTAAAAGAAAAATAAAATCATTTTAAATAATAAAAAATAATTGTAGTAGTATTTTTATAATTAAATTTTTATTTTTAATTATATTTATGAAAAAAAATATATGTATATAAATAAAATTAATAATATAAAAAAATATAAATTATTAATATAATATATTTAAAATTATATAATTAATAATAAAAAAATATATTAATATATGAAAATTTTAAATAAAATAAAATTAATTTTTAATATGTATATTATATGTAATATTAAATTTATTTTAGTCAAAAAATAGAAAAAAAATTAATATTAATAAAAATTTAAAAAAGATAAAATATAATATAATATAATATAATATAATATAATATAATATAAAATATAATATAATAAAAAAATTATATTAAAATAATAAACTGAATCACTTTTAAAATATAAATTTTAAAACAGGTATTTATTTGTATAGAAATAAAAAAATATTAAAAATTCAATACATACAATTATATATTTTATACCTTTTATTATTAATTAAATAAATATGCAATAAAAAATTATTGCTAATTAGTTTTATTTTTGTATAATGTATAACATAGTCAAAAAATAGACATATAAATATTAATATTAATAAAAATATAAATAATATAAAATATAATAGAAATTTAAAAATTATAAACTAAACGACTTTTAAAATTTAAATTTTAAATCAGGTATTTATTTGTATAGAAATAAAAATAATATTGAGAATTCATTATATAAAATTATATATTTTATACCTTTTATTATTAAATAAATATGTAATAAAAATAAGTGCTAAATAGTTTTATTTTGTATATTGTATACAATTTTTTAATTATCTAACTATCTAACTTTAATTAAATTAAAAATGTTCGTCAAATAAGATAAATAATTTTTATTAAATTATATATTTTATATTTTAAAGAAAAATAAAGTTTAAAACATAGTAAAAATAATTAAATAATTTTTTTTATATTATTAAAATACTATTAATAGTCTATCTATAATTGATAATAAATAAATTTATTATATTTAAAAGAAAGATATAAAATAATAACAAAATATTTTTTTTTTAAAAAAAATAATTTAATGAGGTTTATTAAACATTAAATATATTATTTATCCATAAATTATTATTTTATTTTTTAAATTTATTAAAATCTCAATATTCATTTTTAATTTGATTATTTTTCTTGTATTAAAAAAATACTAAAGATATATTATTATTTTTTTATACATAAAATAAAAATTAAATTAAAAAATTATAAGTTAAAAAAAAATTTTTTTTTAATTAAGTTTTAAAAAAAATACAGAAAAAAAAAGTCAATGAACAATAATAATCATTTTTACTAAAATAAAAAAAATAAACTGCCATTAATAAATTGTTAAAAACAATTTATTAAATTATAATTTATTTTTAATATAAATAATTATTTTATTTCAAATATCAATATGGATTTTTTATTTTAAATAATTATTTTTTATATCAGAATTGCATGGATTTATATTTATGGTTGTGATTTTTTGTAATTTTTCTTTAATTTAAATTAAAAAAAAAACTGATAGTTTATAGACTTTTTTTAATTAAATTTTTCATATAAATTATATAAAAAAATTTATAAGTTATATATATAATATTATTGATATAATCTTTTTTGTATAAAAAAAGTAAACAATTATAAAAAATATAAATAATATTATATATTTTTAGAATCGCAAGCATGATATTTTACTTTGCTTTATAATTTATAAAAATGCATCTTTTTATTTTTAATACATTTAATTTAAAAATAAATTTAATTATGAAGATCGATGTATTCAAAAAATTAAATTCTAATTTAACATTCTTTTAAAAAATATAATCAAATATTAAAATAATCGCCTAAAAATTTTAAAGTTCAATAAATTAGCAAAGTAAATTAAAACAAAAAAATATGTATAATTTATATAACTTTAATTCAAAATAAACATTTTTTCATAGGATAGATTACAATTCATAAAATTAATATTTCATATGAATTTTAAATTATTAATTAATGTAAAATTGAAATTTTAATAAATATTTTGATTATATTAGCTTTTTTTGGAAAAAAATAATTTTTTTCTATTAAATAAAACCAATAATATAGTAATATAAGTTTACCATTTTAATAAAGATGCTTTATGCATATTTTTTATCTTTTTCTTTTCATATTAATAGGACAATACTCGTATTAATTTAAGAATTTATTTATATATAGATTATTATGTTATTAGATTTCAAAACTCAAATATATAAATTTTATCTTAAATTAATTAAAAAACTTCTTTTTTTTAAGTCTAAATAACTTTTTCAATTTTTTGACTTTAATAGCATTTTGAGTACGAGTAAATATAATTTAAATTTAAAAAAATTGTACAATTATTTATAAAAATTATTAAATTTTTTGATAAAAATGAATTAAATTAATTAAAATTTTTAAAATACAAATTATATAAAAATTAAAAGAAAGTAATATTTCTATTTTAAAATAAAAATATTTAAATATGAAAACTTTTATGTAATATTTTTTTAAAAAATGATATATATTCAAATAATTTATAACTTTTAGATAAATTTAGGATAAAATAATCCAAAATATTCGTATAACTTGTATAATTTATTTAAATTTTTATTTATATTAAAATTTTTATTTTATATTAAAATATTTTTTTTAATATCTTTTTGTTTAATAACTAAATATGTTTTTTGTTTTAATTCTTATAAATAAATACTATCATTAAATTATTAAGTCTTCGTGTCTAAATGAAGGTTAACCAGTAGAAGCAAGTAATTTTTACCAATCACCGTTACTACTTGTTATTCTGTTTCTAACGTTACCGATTAGCATATTTTCTAATGGTATATAACAGGTCTTTTTTATAAATTAATAATAAAACATTTTTCTATTTTTAATTTACTCTATTATGGACGTGCCCTATTGAAAATCCAGTAAACCCAGCCATTAAACCATGCACAGCATTTTAACCAATTGTACTATTTTTATTAATTAATTTATAATAAACAGTTATTTATTTTAAAATAAAAAAAATATATAAACCTGCAAAGCTTAACATCATAAGCATTAGCTTTAATAGCTCTAATCATATAAAAAGGATCGAAAATATTTAATT